CACCAGTACAACGGAGACAATAGCAAGCCTTCTTTAGATGACTAGAACAAAGACTGACATATGTAAAGCCTAGCTCTGTTTCCAGCCGTTAGTGACAGCTCTAAAAGCGTGGGCTATTATTCTCCGTTTCCCTTACAGAATTTTTGAGCTACTCCATTTTATGTTTACAACTACACACGCAAATGTAGTAGAAAAGAGACCGAATTTAGATACAAGGTGACCATAAGCCAAATGACTCAAGGACGAGTGGGTGACAGACTGTAGGAGAGCGGGGAAAGTTCTGGAGCCCGCAAGACTAAGTGCCCATCTCCTTCACCTTACAGCCGTGTGGCCTTCCTGGGGAGTCACCACCTGTCTGTAAGCCTCAGCTACTTTAACCATAACAACGAAAGAGTGACACAGGATTGTTGTGAGTAAACTGGGCAACGACGCACGTGAACGCTCCAGACACGTAGTTTTATGAAACTTTAATCTCCCTCACGTCCCACCAGGATGTCACTGGCCTCCTAATCCCCCAAAGAAACGACCACGAGAAAGGGAGGACAATGAAGATGCAAGAGCTCTCAAATCCTGAACCCAGGTCCCCTTCCAGGGAGCCCAGGGAGGCTGTTCCGCCCTGAACTACTCGCCGGACGTCGGGCCCAGCAGCATGGGGCAAAAGGCAACGCCAATCGCCTCTGGCCCTGCACAGCCTAACTACCTCAGTTTATCCATCCTTCCACTCTCCACCCTCCAGGCGTCGCTAAAAGGCCTAAAGAACGGTCCCGCGTGCGAGGTTCTCGGGGTTCCCTTTCCCAGTCACGATAAATCCTCTCCCTCTCACCTCGACGCCCCGAGTCTTCTCCATGAGATCTAACACCGTTTCTTCAACCGTCACCAGGTGCAGGAAGCCATATTGGCCTCGCGGCTTTTCCTGAGCGCAGTCATTGGCCGCTTCCCAGAGCTGCGGGCCAATCACGCTGCAGGAAGGAGGAAAAGCCGGTTCCGCGCTCGCCCGCGCCCCTGCCCCTAGGGGCGGGGAAGCCGCGGGTCCTTGTGGGACTTGTAGTTCCCCTGTGGGTGCTCGTGGAAGCGGACGTTGCTATAGAGATGTGAAAATCCCTGCGCGCTGGCCCTGCCGCCGCCGGGGCAGATCTCATTTCTGTACGCTAACCTCCTCTCACTCCTACCCCATTCTTTCTCAAATAATTATTGAGCACATACGATAGGTACTGTTCCAGGCACCGGGAAAGACATCGCATTCTCCCTGATTCGAAGAATTTGAAGGTGCCCTTGGGCCAGGATGACTAGCAGAGAGACTCATTTCCAATTCAGCCAGAAACTGGAATTTCTGCCCAGTGCTATAAATGTCTCGCATGCTCAAAACCCCGCAACACTGCCCCTCTATCACCATCTCCTGAGTAAAATCTAGAATATGAGGCACTCTGCCTCACTCATTTTGGATGTCCCACAACCTCCGTAAACAATCAGTTCTAGGTGCTCTGGTGGAGCTTTACAAACGGCTCAAATCTGGAGACAGTCAATCACCCTATCAAAGATGAAGCGGTGGCTCTTTCCGAGATCATACAGGATTGGAATTTAAGTCCATATTCTTTCCCTGTGCTATGTTGTGCTCTAATTGAGGGTCTAAATGTAGGGGTGCCTGGCTGGCTCAGTCAGAGGAGCGTGGGACTCTCGATCTCAGGGTGGTGGCTTCCAGCCTCATTGGGTGCAGAGATTACTAAAATAAAATAAACTGAAAAAAATAGACAAAAGAGGGGCGCCTGGGTGGCTCAGTCGTTAAGCGTCTGCCTTCGGCTCAGGTCATGAGCCCAGGGTCCTGGGATCGAGCCCCACATCGGGCTCTCCGCTCAGCGGGGAGCCTGCTTCTCCCTCTCCCACTCCCCCTGCTTGTGTTCCCTCTCTCGCTGTGTCTCTATCAAAAAATAAATAAAATGTTAAAAAAAATAGACAAAAGAAAAAAATAATCTAAATGTAGTAAGTGGAGGCTGAATATATGTTAAAAATATTTCTAAATTTGGGCGCCTGGGTGGCTCAGTCGTTAAGCATCTGCCTTCGGCTCCCAAGGTCATGATCCCAGATCCTGGGATCGTGTCCCACATCAGGCTCCCTGCTCAGCAGGAAGCCTGACTTCTCCCTCTCCCACTCCCCCTGCTTGTGTTTCCTCTCTCGCTGTGTCTCTCTCTGTCAAATAAATAAAATCTTTAAAAAATATATATATATATTTCTAACTTGTATATATTTCTAAATTTGAGGTCCACCACATAGATGTGGAAGTCTTTGATTTTTCCTTTCTTCAACCCCTTCTACCACCAACCCCTATTCATGCTATCAACCAGTATTGTTGGTTCTACATCCAAAATAGAGCCTGTATTCCTCCACCACTACCACCCAAATAGAAGTCACCAGCCCACTGCAACAGCCCTCCAACGGTCCCTGTTAGAGTTTTCCCCTTCTTTAATCCACACCGGTGATCTTTTAAATCATAAGCCACATCATCTGCATCCTCTTGCTGGAAACCTCTACTAGCTCCCCGTTGCACTTTGAAAATTCAAACATTCCACAAGACCCTGAATGACACTCTGCTTTCTCTTCAATCTGCTCCTGTACTACCCTCTCCGGCTTTCCCTACTCACTTCTTGTTTTTTTTTTTGTTTGTTTGTTTTTAAGATTTTATTTATTTATTTGACAGAGAGAGACACAGTGCGAGAGGGAACACAAGCAGGGGGAGTGGGAGAGGGAGAAGCAGGCTTCCCGCTGAGCAGGGAGCCCGATGCGGGACTCAAACCCGGGACTCCAGGATCATGACCTGAGCCGAAGGCAGCCGCTTAACCAACTGAGCCACCCAGGCGCCCAAAAAATTCCATGATTTCAAATGGAATATGGAATCAACAAGATTCATCAAGCTTAAACAGAGAGAGTCTAGGTTTTACTTTGTACAGTGGAAATGACAGGGTCAGCTCATTGGGTTGTAAGAACTAGAAATAAGAAACGTGCAGTACCTGCCATAGACCAGGCACAGTCAATGGTGGTTATCATCATCCTATTAGACACCAGGAGGGCAGCAACTAGAAGAATAAAACAGCCAAGAAGAATCCCTTTCATATGTTGCTTAATCTTTTATTAATTTTCAAAGTACAACCACAGGGGCACCTGTCTGGCTCCGTTGGTAGAGCATGCAACTCCATCTTGGGGTTATGAGTTCAAGCCCCATGTTGAGCATAGAGCTTACTTAAAAAAAAAAAAGTACAGGGCGCCTGGGTGGCTCAGTTGGTTAAGCGACTGCCTT